TAGGTATAACTTGGACTTTTTCTACTTGATGAAGGGGGGTACTTTTTTCACCTTCTGATCCAGTGACGCTTCAATCAGTCACTTTGAGCAAGGCAAAGAGCGACTTCCCAAGTGAGCGAGCTGTGAACCAGCGAGAAGTGGAGTTTCGCTGGACAGACTTGTGGGGGAATCTCACGCGCGTCCACATTAACCCTGCGTGGCACGAGCAGGTGGGTAGACTTTCAAATGACATCACCATGCCGCTGGGCTTTTTGTACTGGCGTGCCAGACCCAAACTTTGAACAACGAGCTTGACACTTTTGCTTGAAGCCAAAACAGAAAACTTTTCATCAGCCTGTGGATGAATTAAGTAATGAGTACTTTCCATCGGCGCCAGAGACTTGCGTGTTTCAAGGCCACTACCTTCTCTATAGTCTGACTTTTTGCACCCACTTTTGCAAGACATTACCTCGAGGAAAACAACTTTTGCGGATCAAACATTTGCCGCGTTGTGTGTGCAGACTTTCGTGTTGTCTACATTCAAGAATGTATCCAGGGGGGCGAGTCACATATACACTTTCCCCTGCCTATGTCATGATACAACTGCCACTTTGGTGGCTCAAGCTTTCGCCAGAGAAACGGTGCTGCGCCACTTCACATACTTCGGTTTGTGTTTGGTGACACTTTAGAGTCCTTTGGCTTTTTGTGTTTGATTGTTCGCGCGTTTGTTCGTTTGATTGTTTGCTTGTTGGTTATTTGTTTTGTTGGTATGTCTGTTGGTTTTTTGTTGTTGGTTGTTGTGTTTGTTGTTGCTGTTGATGTTGCTGATTCTACTGCTGTTGTTGTGGTTGTCGTTGTCGTTGTCGTGGTCGTCATCGGCGTCCCTGTTGTTGTTGTTCTTGTTGTTTTGTTGTTGTTGTTGTTGTGGTTGCGGTTGTAGTTGTGGATGTTGCGGTTGCTGTTGTGGTTGTTGTTTCTTTGTGTGTTTGTTTGTTTGTTTGTTTGTTTGTTTGTTTGGTTGGTTGATTGTTTGGTTTGCTTGGTAGATTGTTGGTTTGTTAGTTTGTTACTTTGTTTGTTTGTTTGTTTGGTTGTTTGGTTGGTTGGTTAATTTATTGGTTGGTTGGTTGGTTGGTTTGTTTGGTTTGTTTGTTGTTGCTGCTGCTGCTGCTGCTGCTGTTGTTGTTGTTGTTGTTGTTGTTGTTGTTGTTGTTGTTGTTGTTGTTGTTGTTGTTGTTGTTGTTGTTGTTGTTGTTGTTGTTGTTGTTGTTGTTGTTGTTGTTGTTGTTGTTGTTGTTGTTGTTGTTGTTGTTGTTGTTGTTGTTGTTGTTGTTGTTGTTGTTGTTGTTGTTGTTGTTGTTGTTGTTGTTGTTGTTGTTGTTGTTGTTGTTGTTGATGTTGTTTTTGTTGTCGTTGTTGTTGTTGTTGTTGTTGTTGTTGATGTTGTGGTTGTGGTTGTTGCTGCTGCTGTTGTTGTTGTTGTTGTTGTTGTTGTTGTTGTTGTTGTTTCTGCGGCTGTTGTTGTTTGTTGTTTCCTCCGGTTGGGTCTCGCCAGGAGTTTTGCTAAACCTTTTTCAATGGTGTGGCGCGTGTATACTGCTGCTGTTGTTGTTGTTGTTGTTGTTGTTGTTGTTGTTGTTGTTGTTGTTGTTGTTGTTGTTGTTGTTGTTTTGTGTTGTTGTTGTTGTTGTTGTTGTTGGTTGTTGGTTGTTGGTTGTTGCTGGTTGGTTGGTTGTTGTTGTTGTTGCTGTTGCTGGTTGATTGGTTGGTTGGTTGGTTGGTTGGTTGGTTGGTGTTGTTGTTGTTTTGTGTCGCTGTTGTTTTGTGTCGCTGTTGTTTTGTGTTGTTGTTGTCGTTGTGGTTGTTGTTGCCGTTGTCGCTGTTGCCCGTGTTGTTGTTGTGGTCGTTGTTGTGGTGGTTGTTGTTGTTGTCGTTGTTGTCGTGGTTGCTGTTGTTGTTGCTGTTGCCCGTGTAGTAGTAGTAGTAGTTGTTGTTGTTGTTGTTGTTGTTGTTGTTGTTGTTGTTGTTGTTGTTGTTGTTTTGTAGTAGTAGTAGTTGTTGTTGTTGTTACTGTTGTTGTCGTTGTCGTTGTTGTTTGTGTTGTTTGTTTTGTTGGTTGTCGGTTGCTCACTGTTGTTGCTTGTTCCCTGTTCCTTGTTTCTCTTTCATTGTTTATTGATTCGTGTTGCTTGCTGCTAGTTTGTTGTTTGCTGTTTGTTGGTTGGTGTTGTTGCTTGTTGCTCGTTGTTGTTTGTTTATTCTTCGTTGTGTCGCATGTCTTGTTTCTCGTTTCTTGTTACGGTTTGTCGCTTCTTGCTGCTTGCTTGTTGTTTGTTTGTTGCTTGTTCATTGTTCTTGTTGTTGTTGCTGCTGTTGTTGTTGTTGCTGCTGCTGTTGTTGTTGTGCTTTGTCATTGTTGTTGTTTGTCTTGGCGGTTGTTGGTTGTTGAATCGTTGTGTTTTTGTTTTGTTTCTTGTTTTTTCGTTTTTTGTTATCGTTTCTTGTTTTGTTTGTTGTTTCTGGCTTTTTGTTTCTTGTTTTTTTCTCTTGCTGCTTGTTTGTTTCTTGCTATTTGCTTGTCTTTTGTTTGTTTGTTTGTTTGTTGGTTGTTGTTGTCGTTGTCATTGTTTCCTGTCGGCTGTTGGTTGTTGATATGTTTTTTTTTCCTCTTGTTTCTCGTTTCTCGTTTTTAGGTTCTTGTTTCTTGTCTCTTGCTGGTTGTTTCGTGTTTGTTGTTTGTTGGTTGCTGTTGTTGTTGCTGTGACTGTTGCTGTTGCTGTTGCTGTTGCTTTTGTTGTTGTTATTGTTGTTTGTTGCCTGGTGGATGTTGGTTTTTTGGTTGTTGTTGTTTTCTTCCTTGTGTCTCGCTTCTGGTTTTGTTTTTGTGTTTTTTGTTTGTTTGTTTGTGTGTTTGTGTGTTGGGTGTTGTTGTCGTCGTTTTTGTTGTTTCTTGTCGGCTGTTGCTTGCTGACTGTTGTTTCGTGTTTCTTGTTTCTGGTTTCTTGTTTCGGTTTGTTGTTTCTTGTTTCTTGCTGCTTGCTTGTTGGTTGTTGGTTGTTGTTGTTGCTGTGGCTGTTGCTGTCGCTGGTGTTGTTGTTGTTGTTGTCGTGGTGGTTGTTGTTGTCGTTGTCGTTGTCGTTGTGGCTGTTGTTCTTGTTGATCTTGCTGCGCTTGTTGTGCTTGTCTCTGTTTTAGTTCTTTTCCTTGTCCTTGTTCTCGTTCTTGAGCTTGTCTTTGTTCTTGTTATTGTTGTTGTTGCTGTTGGTGTTGCTGGTGGTGTTGGTCTTGTTGCTGGTTGGTGTTTTTGTTGGTGGTGTTGTGTTTGTTGGTTGTTTCTCGTTGGTTGGTCGTTGTTGTTCTTTGTTGTTTGTGCTTGTTTGTGTGTTTATTCTGTGTTTGTTTTGTTGTTGTTTGGTGGTTGGTTTTTGTGTGTGTGTGTGTTGTTGCGGTGTTGCTGTTGTTTTCTGTTTTTTTTGAGGTCGGAATTGCGGGTTGTTGGTCCTTGCTTCTTGGTTGTTGCTCGTTGCTTGTTGTGTGTTGTCTGTTGTTTGTTGTTTGCTGCGTTGTTGTCCTTGTCGTTGTCGTGGTTGTCGTTGTCGTCGTTGTTGTCGGTGGTGGCTGCGCTGGCGGTGTGGTGTTGTGGGTGTTGGTGTTGTTTCTGCTGCTGTTGCCGCCGCTGCCGTCGCTGGCTGCCATAGGGTTGTGACCCACGGTGTAGGCTAAGTCACGGGAAGCCAAGATATTTTTTGTGCGAGTTAGATACGATTTTGATATGATTGGAAAATATGGTTTTGTTACGCCGGTTTTACGATATTTTTTACGATATGGGATCAGGAAATTGGAATTCGTTTCAACAAAAAAAGTAAACTAATAGAAATCGTATTAACATCGTATTGAAATCGTATTCAATTTGTATTAAAACCGTATTTTTGCGATTTTAACACGATTTCAATACGATTTGAATACGGTTTCTAATACGATTTTAGTACGGCTTTTTGCACCCCTTGCTTTCAAGTGCATGTCCAATGTGTAAAAAAAAACGTAACAAAAACATAAATGTTACAGGAGTCGTATTGAAATCGTAAATCCGAATCGAACCAAAATCGTAATGAAAACATAAAACTAAATATTCAGGAAAATGCTAGTTAGGCTGACAGCGTAGGTCACAACCATAGGGCATTTGGAAAGTTGCGTGTGGCAAGGGTCTGACATTTTGGGGAGAACCGTCTCCTCCAAACGCGCTTGTTGCGCGTTGTGCGGGTGCTTTAATGCAAATGTTTTCCACAGGCCTTTGGGTGGCGCACCCTGGTCCCGTTGCTCAAGAGTCAAGAGCAAGCCTGGTCTTGTCACCCTGGAAATGGACAAGGCCATCAAAGCCTCATAGGCCCTGCCTGCTAAAACTTCAACTCTTTGCGAGCAGGAGGCGCAGACCCAGGCCCGCTGGGTTCCTAAGACCTGATCCTGATTGACACCCGCGATTCATGACGACAACGCTTTGATTTGTGGATTTCAAGGCAGCAGTTCTGATGAACAACGGGCGGGTCCGCTAGACTCTAAGGTAAGGGTGTACACGTTTTGTTCTTGGTAGCGGGCTTTTTGCGGATTGCTTTGAAGCAAAGCCCAACGGAGATCACCGATCCACCAACGGGTGCGGCTGGTATCGATGAAGCGCAAACACAACTGCAAGTCACTCCCAAGCATTTGGCGGGAAAAGGAAAGCTGACGTTGGCCTAGCCCAGCCTGCCAACCAGGCAGTAGCACAACGGCAGTAGCAGGACGGCCGCTGTCTTTTCCTGTCTTGGTGATGCTGGCCCTTGCAACTTTTAAGAATATTGCTAGTGTTGGCATGAGTGAAGCTGGTTTTGGCACACCCAGAAAATCTAATCTTGGCCCAAGTACGGTGTCCTTCTTGACCTCAGCAAGCCAACAGAGACTGGTCATTCCCCCCTGGCCAGCGGAGGTCTCCCCATATAAAATGGATTCGGGGTTCCTCCGCCAATACAATTGCATGTCGCCGCTAGGTGGTGGTGCGGCGTGGGCCCAGCACGAAAGACCCGCCCCTCGGGGTCATGCAGAAGGCCACGGCGCCCAGGCTGTCGAAATTCCTATTGAGCATCCCTCCTCAAACCTGACCTCAATGATGCGTGATCAGTCCGTGTTTGGCCAGCCCTTGGGCCCGAGACGCGCCGCTGATGCGGAAGATGCTGGTTTGCTCCCGGCTCCTGATGACGGTTCGTTGCACACAACCAACTACAGCAATGACGCTTGCCTCGACGCCCTCATTGACGGCTTCTCCAAAAGGTTTTTGGAAACTTAGGCCTTCAACAGCAACCGCAGGCTGTATTCAGGATGGCTACCGCTACTGCTACTGCTGACAAGGGTTGATCATATTTGTGTGTCACCATTCCCTGGGTTTACCGGTTGCAATGTGACGTCTTGCTTGTCTAGGTCTACTTGAGTTTCCCCAGCGCATCTCAAAGGTTGCCAGTTTTTCAGCCGACGGTGCTTTGCAGCCTCGCTCATGGTTTACGGGGATGCACTCCAAATCTGATTCATATCAAAAAGCTCTCAATTCATATCATAGACAGATCACACCTGTTGCGACGCTGAAATCGGGCCAGGGAGATGTCGTCGGAGTAAGGCGGCGACAAGGTGATTGGGTGGAGCTTGTCCAGGAGCGCAGGGGAAGGCGTTGGAGTGCCCGGAGCAAGCAGTTGTACTTCCTGGTCACACGTGTAGTGAGGGCGCAGATGAACCGCCAGGTTGTTAGCGCCAAAGGTCAATCGGTCGTTGCTTATCCTGTGCTCCGGCGCTGGGAGTGGACGCCTTAAGGTTTCAGAAAGGGCGCCTGTTTTTCCTAGCTTGGGGTATGAAGGTGCGCTGTTTGGTTTGCATTCCTTTAAATGAAGCGTTCTCACAGAAACCCGTAATCAAACCCTTTCTTTATAGCTTCCCTCAGCATCTGTAGCTCTGCGCTCCTCTTCAAGGGGGTCAGGGCGGGCGGGGCGGGGGAGCAAAAGCCAACAACAACGCTCCGCTGTGTTTTGTCGTTTTTCCTCCCTCGCCCTTTCTTGCAAAGTTCAAGGATGTCCTGCTTCAACAGCTTCCTTGGAGTTGCTTAGAGCTAGCTTAACTTTCTGGAGGGCGGAAGCTTCTAATGCGCCTATAGAAAGAGAAACAAAACATCCCTGCCCCACGCCCGCGCACCTTTTTGGCCGAGTTGGCTGCCGCAGTCGCGTTGGCAGGCGGAGCGTCCTTGGCTTTCTTCCTTGTTCTTTCTTTCTTTCTTTCTTTCTTTCTTTCTTTCTTTCTTTCTTTCTTTCTTTTTTTGTGTGATTTTTCCTTGCTTTCTAAAATTTGTTCCCGGAAGCATCCCGAATTATTTCTTCTGTGCGGAGCCCTTGGAATAAAATACACAGAGTGATTACACAGAGCCAAGTTGCACAGAGCCAAGTTGCCCAGAGCCAAGCTGCGCAGAGCCAAGTGGCCTGCAGCGCGCGTCCAGCTCAGCTTTGAAACAGAGCAGGGGCCTGCCATGTTCCAGACAAAAGTAGGCGTAGGGAAACGCACGCCAATCCAGTGCGAGGCCACGTCTACCCCATTAGCGGCACGCTCCGCGCACTGCTCCGTCTTGCATGAGCGCGCGCTGGCTCATTAGCATGTCTTTTCCAGCACCACTCGACAATGCCAGTCTTGAGACACTCCTTCTCATCTTTTGTGCTGTAGTACAGCGTTCCATCGGGAAGCTGTCGCCTTCTGCGCGCCAAACATCGCACGCCAGACATGGCACGCACTCTTTGTTGCCTTGTGCTCGCAGCGCTTCAGCCAGGCTCGCTTGCGCCCGCGAAGTCTCCGCGATCCACAGAGCCAAGTTGCATCGCGCCAAGTTGCGCAGAGCCACGTCGCACAGAGCCAGGTTGCACAGCCAGGAGGCTCCAAGTCCCAAGTTACCTTGGCTTTTTGAGCTAAGATGTCTTCGGCCACTTGCGCTTGTTGGCCCCGTAAAGCCATGAAAGCTCGGCCGAACGGCCGTGATAACTCGCGCGGTAAACTGAAAGGCCGTTACTACGCCGTGAAAAAGCCGTAAAAACTCGTGAAATTTCACTCTCTGGGTTATCTTGTGCTCACAACACCAAAAACCTCCTTAGCTCATACGGCCTAAGTAACTCGCAAATCGGAGCCCCCTGGAAGGCCAAGGTTAGGTATAGAGCTTGCGCAGAGCTTCGGCCAAAGGAGCCGTGTAAGTTAGTTTGGGTTTCTAAGGCGCCGGGGTGGGAGCTTGATCATCGCTCGGGATTGCGACGCTCTGCGGGGATCCGCGTAGTCGATGTTTGAAAACTGAGGATTTTTTACGAGTTGTGGTCTGCTCGCGCGGCCTTCTGCGGACATCCGCGTGGTCGATGTTCAAAAACTGAGGGCTTTTTATGATTTGTGATCTGCGCGCGCGACCCTCTGTGGAGATGGGCGTGGTTGATGTTCAACAACTGAGGACGTTTTACGATTTGTGGTCTGCGTGCGCGACCCTACCCTCTGCGGAGATCAGCGTGGTCGATGTTCAAAAGCTGAGGGCCTTTTGCGATTTGTGATCTGCGCGCGACTCTCCGCGGAAACCCGCGTGGTCAATGTTGAAAAAACTGAGGATTTTTGCTTACGATTTCTGAATTCTGCAGGGCATCGCGAAACATGAAAGTCCCTCTAGTAGAAATCCCACACAGTCGGCGCGGAACTATGCTACCTTTGGGTGGAAACATTCAGGTAAAAACGCATAAGCCGCACGTATTGCAAGCCCGCGCTGCTTCCCGCGCCTGTCGGGCAGAGCAGCAAGGGCCTTTAGGTTTACGCGTGGGCATGGGACCAACAAACGCAGCCATCGCCGCTCGCCGCAAATGTTGATCTCGGATCAACTTGATTCGTTGCGTTCACTGTGCGGGGGGGGGGGTCCGGGTTGGGTTCCCCTGAAATAGAGACCCCCCTGCCGCGTTTGTACTCTAATGGGGGGGGTTACCACCCTGAAGCCTTGAATATTTTCAGTGGCTGGTTTTCGGCTGAGTAGGTTAGCACCCTCTTTTTTTGTGTCGACCCCTTTTTTATTTGCGCCTGAGGTCATAGTGACCCCACATGTTCTTGGCAGCCTGGGCGAACATAGGGATTAGAGATTGCGCGCTGGCAAGACTCAGTATTGGTAATGATAGTAATGATAGGTTTAGCAATGGCAATACTGAACTTAGCATTGTGAACCTAAGATTCAGTATTGTCAATACTAAGTTTTCGGAATTTAGGATAAAGTATTGGCATTGCTAGATCTTGTAAATCTTGGCAGTTTCGGGATCTAGAAGATCAACTCTGATTGGCTATTACTGCGAGGTTAGTATTGGAATCTGAGACTACGTGGTGGCAATTCTGAAATGTCACTGAACTTGTGGGAATGTACAATTTGTCACCCTCATCCAAAGCCCCGGATTCCCTTATTGCCATTACCAGATGTGGAACACGCTTTGGTAATTGGGGTCGCTTAAAGGGCACCAAACATGGGCCAGCAGAACACAACCATCCGGGCAAACAAATCCGGGCAAACAGCATTGGGGATTCGCTTTTTGTTTGGCCCGAAGCCACGAAGTGTAAGCGAACATCTTTATACAAGAGCTAGAGGCCAAACAGTCACAATGAAGCCCTGATTCTGTTGAATCTGGTTGCTTCGTGGTTCTGACTGTTTTGTGGTTCGCTTGAATGTCACGGCGATTGGCAATACTCAATTTCAGATTTGCAATGCTAAGTTAAAAGTCTTGGCTATCTTTTCTTAAGCGTTGGGAGTCTGAGAGCAAGTCTTGGCTATACTAACAGTGGCAATACTAAATTAAGTAGTGAGAATCCAGAGTATGGTTTGGCAGGTCTCGATTTAGAATTAGCATTGCTGAGTTAAGTATTGGGAATCTGAGAATACGCCTCGGAAATCTTCAATCGAGAACTAGCAATGCTAAACTAGGCGTCTTGGCAATACTAAGTATAGAATTGGCAAGGCTAACATTAAGTACTGTGAAACTGAGAGTAAGGCTTGGGAAAGGTTAGCCCCTGAAGATTTTAGGTCCGGTCAAAGGGGTTGGCCTTTGGGGTTAGCCCCGTGGCTATCTCAGTTTGCGACCTCTTTCCCGACACCCATTTTGTTTTCGCCGAGGGGCTAACCTTTTCTTCTCGCGGGTCCCCTACTCGGTAACTTTTGTGAGGGTTAGCGCCCCTATTTTTTGAAAAATGGTTACCCCCCCCCCGTTTTATTTCAATAACATGGGTGTCCCAACCCTCAAAGAAAACAAGACAGGGGGATGAGAAGAACGGCGAGGCTTTTTGCAGCTCTGCCCTCGCGCGCCTTCCGCCCGCTGATTGTTGCAAACGAGGCGTCCACCCCCCACACGATATGTTAAAGAGGGTGTTTGGTCCAAACTCGGGACTGTCCAGAAGAAGCGGCTGTCAAGTTGATTGCCTTGCAAGATCTTTCCTACGATACTTCCAAGCCTACATCTCGTAGGTGCTTGCGTTGTCCCGTGCCATTCAGAGAAGAACCAGGTGCTTCGATCTTGACCCAGGGGCTTCTTCGGCCTGGTGAGTTTGTGGGCAATTTGGACAACCGAAAGAAAAGAAGGATTCCTACGGACGCCATGACAGTGACCCACATGGGTGCTTTACGCAATTGTGAATGTTTTGGTTGATTCTGAAAGGGAGGCCACAAGTTTCAGGGGTCCCCAACTTTGAGAATCATTCCCAAATTGTTTGGCTTCCAGGACTGCGAGGTTCGCTTCAAGAAGAGGGAGGGCGCAGAGCAGGTGGCCGTCGGGGCGCCCAGAGAAATCGCACGGTTTTGCCGCGTTCTGGGAAGCCACGGTTCAGCGCGTGAACATCATGGCCGCTGGTCTTCTGAGTAAACCTGCCAACGCCCGGAACAACCCCAAAAAAAGCAAACATAGAACTTGAACTTGCACAGTCCTCCCCTTACGAGGGAAATGATTTCTGGAGCAGGTCCTATAGATGTCGTGTAAGCCCCGTTTGGCTTTTTGTGATTGGCTGTTTAAAGCATATTGCCGCAGCCTTTGTCGGCGGCGTGATGCTTCATTCTGCTGGCGGGATTGCGCCCGAAGCGGCATCAAGGGATGAATCCGGGGCCAATGAATTGGAGGGATTCTGGTTCGATGCTGAGGCCATCAACCCCTTGCGCCGGCACAAGGCCCGACTCCCTTGGCGCGCCGTTGTGCTTGCCTTTGTGTGGCCACACGGGCTTTCCTACTGGAATAGCGCAATGGCCTTAAGTAAAGGACCATAGGTCTTTGAATGGTGCTGATGGGCAACGGGCATAGCACCAAGTCGGTGTTCAAAAGGCTTCGCGTTGCCAAAACAAGGGCCTGCGGCCGATTTGGTGTGAAAAGGGCGCCGGACCCGATTTTTGTGGAATACTCGGTGCCCAAGGCTGGAAGCCGCAATTTACCGACTGGAGCAAGCTCTACGTGACTTCATGGTCTTAGTGCTTTAATGAATGTTGGATTCTCCTTAATGTGAACCTCCTCCCCTTCCTTGAGCAAAGGAACCATTCACCGCGGTCCTCCTTAGCGAAAATCCGGGGATGCGTGTGGGTTAGGGCAGCTTTAAACAAAGGAGCTCCCCATGATTTGCCCGGATTATAACGAAGGGTTCTTCAGGAAAGACCTAGAGCGGATTCAACCAGCAGTAACACGAGCGAGTCGGACTAGCAAGTTGCATTAGCTAGATGCACTAGCTAGTTGCACTAGCTAGATAGCGCTAGCAAGATGCACTAGCAAGATGCGCTAGCCAGTAGCACTCGCAAGATAGCGCTAGCAGAATTTGCGCCAGCAGGCGTCGCTAGCAAGTTACAGTGGCGAGTTGCACTGGCAAGCTGCGCTAGGAAGTTGCGTTGGCAAGTTGCAGAAGAGGCTGCTTTAGCGAGCCGCAACAGCAAGTCACACAAGACTTCAGTGTCTTACACTAGAAACTATCTTATGAACTCGCGCCTGAACGAAACAGTGTGAAGCTCGACAAATATAACCTACTCTTTTGAAGGTGGCGGGCTTGCGCTAACTTGGCGACTTAGAAGCCGACCTTTTGCGGGGATTAGTGTGGCTGATGTCAGAAACAGGACTTTTTCGACTTTGGCGGCGCTGGGGGCCTTTGGGTTGGAGTGGCCGATGTCGGACCGCGGGCTTGAAAGTTTGCCTTGTGGTGTGCGCACCTGCTCTTGGAATCGAGCGGCGCCGGGCTCGAATCCTGTTTGGCCCAGGCAGCAGCGTCTAAGTTGGAAAGCGAGTTCTCGAAGGGAGCTTGCGTAGCTCCAGCTGGAAAACCGCAACGTTTGTTGCATGCTAGGTGCACTTTTGCAGAAAATCGCAGCTTCTAAGTACGAAACTGGCACGCGAAGTGCACTTCTGCAGCTCCGGCTGGAAATTCGCAACTTTTTAAGTGCGAGAGTAGTACGCGACATAAACTTTCGCAACTCCGGCAGGAAAATCGCAACTTTTGACTGAGTGCGGAAAGTAGTACGCGAAGCGCACTTACTTTCGCAGCTTTGGCAGGGAAATCGCAACGGTTAAGTGCGAAAGTAGTACGCAAAGTACACTTTCGCAGCGCCAGTTGAACTACAAATTAGTTCGCAAAGTACACTGTTGGAAGGCTTCGGCTGAATTCTTAACTACAAAGGTAGTGCCCCAAGTGCACTTCCAGAAAGCTTTTGGCTGGCAGATTTCAACAACGAAAGCATTGCACGAAGTACACTGTCGCAGGTCCGGTTCGGCAATTTGTACGCGCGTCAAAAGGCTGCTGTGTTGTAGCCAGCGCTGCTTGCCCAGAGACCTTGCTCATCGAATCCTGTCAGAGAAACTGGCTGAGAGAACTTGCTCAGAGTACTTGTGCCAAGAACCTTGGAGAACTTGCTCAGAGGAACTCGCTCCAACAGCCCGCTCAGAGGAAGTTGCGCGCCGTGCATCTTCTAGTGTGCTGCCCAGACTTCCTGGCCCCAAATGCTACACGATCCGAAAAAGCAAGACCTGATAGAACCTCTCTGCGGTCGCGTCTCTCATCAAGTCTTTCGTCACGCTTTATGTCATGTCTTTCGCCACGCATCTTGTCTCTTGTTACGCTTCTCCTCACGTCTCTCGTGGCCGCCGCCTCTTCCCTCTTGTCTCTCGCCACAAATCTTGGCGCATCTGCTGCGTGCCACGTCTTTCTCATGTCTCTTGTCACGTCTTTTCCTCACTTCTCATGTTCGCCCTTGTCTCGTGTTACGTCCGTATACTTAGATGAGCTGTGGCGTTGTGAACCAGATGGAGAGGTCAGCCCACTTAGCCTAATTAGTTAACTAGCTTGCGCTAACTCTTACCTCAGCAATGCTTGCGCCTCAACAAGATCACCGCTTAACAGCAGCAGAGCTACGTGGCTAGCTATCCCCTAGCTAGGAGGTTAGCCGTCTTTTTACTGCTTACTATTACAAAGTCTAAAACACGCTTGCGTAATCAAAACAGGTTTATAAGACAACAAATTACAAATTTACAGTTGCAGCGTTGCGTTTCCACCGGGAAGATGTCTAAAACATCATTTTCCTTGGAATGGTGTGCACAAAACTAGAAGATCCTGACCATGTAATGTTACACCTCCTTTAATGATAGGGTCCTCTAGTGTGTAAAGTTTTTTTTCGCAACTCAGGACCCTGTGACTGTTTAGGGGTCCTCTATTGTCACAGGACTTTACTCAGCCCCTCTCAAGTGACACCCCTCAGGTGAAAAACACTTAAACATGTGTTTGAGGACATTTGAGGGAACAGTTTGAGCGAGGTGTCTCCTGGAAGGTTTTGAGCAAAAACCTGCAATTCAGCAAGTGCTCAGGAAGGAGTGGGTTGAAGACGTTGTGTCTAAATATCTCTTTTAGGGCGAATTATGCTTCAGCCGGATCAACTAAAACACATCGCTCCAGGGAACTTGAGACATCTGGGGTTCCTTGCTTCTGCAAGGATAAGCACACAGTTTGCTGGAGCTGTCTGTGCCTGCTGGAGCTTTATCAGAACTCGGAACCCAACTGTGGGCAATGAACCTCGCAGCGGGAGAATGTGCGATTTGAACAGTTGCTTATTTGTTGCCACAGTTCATTGCTCCTCTGCTTGTTTTGATGCTTTTTTGAAGCATTTAAGCGCATTTGAGAGCATTTGAGTGCATTCGAGTGCATTTGAGTGCATTTGAGTGCATTAAAGCTCCCTTCAGGGAGAAGCAATTCATGGCCATTCATTAAACACTTGAGTCAACGCGGTTCACCTTCCATAGGGATTGTGAATTGAAATGCTCATTTGGAACAAATAGTGTGATGATGATGATGATGAGTTCCAAGTCTGGTAGATAAAAAAAGGCCTCAGTTGATTCTGTTAGCCAACATGCTTCAGTTGAAACCATGCAATTAGTAAAGACTTACCAAACATGGGGCGCACATCTTTGCACGCATCAACGGGACATGCCACAGCTTCCATTGGTCCGTGCTTTTGAGTGGGCTAGGCAATCGCACCCAAGAGAGGGTACAAGCAGGGTCGAGCAAACCAGCGCACATGTGTCAGGGTTATTTGGGCAACAACTGCAACGGCTTCAAACAGGCGTGACACGTTGACCAACATCGAGGCAGATCGCTCAAACACCACACATTTGGAAAAGAACATTTAAGAACATTTAAGTTTCAAATGGACTTAAAAGGACATAACAAGACTTAAAAAGCCCAAATAAGAGATAATAAGCCAAACTGAGAATTATGAAGTGCATTTGAGAAAGCGTTGTTTTGAAGATTGGCATTTAAGCTGGATTCACCTGAGGGGTGCCACCTGAGGGGGGCCGAGTAGGGTTCTGTGATATTGTAGAAAGTTTTTCCCCTCCAAAGAAAACAAAAACCAAAGCCTTAGCCTTTTATGTTTAAAGGTGGCTCATCCTAAGCTCTCCCCAGCTCAAAGGTTAAAGGCCTGAGGTCTAGGAAATCCAGTTTGCAAGTTGCGCTTAAACAATCAAATTTATGATAACTTCTTTACAAAAAAGGAAGGTGAATCACAAAGGGGGTTGCCCACAACCAGCGCGTGGGGAGGTGTGCGGAGAGCATTCCTCCTGGTGGTTCGTTGTGACTTGCACCATTCAACATAGACGATTTGCTCAGTGGGGCTGCAGATGTTTGCCCTCAAGGCTTACAAGCGATCAATGATGTTGGACCCAACTGTAAAGAAGGAGGAAGAAGAGGCTATGAAGATGTAGGCCGGGCCACAAGTGAAGTGGCAAGCTACGCAGAAGGCGCTTGTGAATGAAAATGCGTGCGCTTTGAGCCAAGCAGCGAAGCTTCCAGCAGAGAGATGCAACTCAAGTTAGCTCCAGGCTCAAGGGAGGAGCGGTTTTTGCCGGTTGCGGCCTTTCACGGAACAATTCATAAAGACAGGGCGACAAAAAGGGAGGAAAGGAGAAGAAGGTTGAAGGCGTTGCTTTCCGCGCGGGCTGTGAAGGATCGTACGGTGGCAAGAGTTGCTTGACTGCTGTGTGTCACCCGTGACCATGAGTTCCAAGCTCTAGCGGCTGACACTTCCATTGAAAGACACACAGCTCAGGCCTGGCCCACAGGCTCAATGTGGCTTAGGCAGTGAAGGCCTGGGTTGGCTGTTTAGCACCTGATACCAACGTAAATGTGGTTGACTCATGTCTTTGCTATTTGCTAGCAGGCCATTGCCGTGTCAACAGCCCTCCATATTATGCTGCCAACTCGCTGGATATGCAGTTTGACTGCTGCCAGCATGGCTTTGCATATTACACTGAAAGCTTTGGTTGCAACTGTCCTTGCCCATGATGGCTAGGAGACATGAACCAGCGCAATGCTTGCTGACTTTGGCTGGGCCACGATGGCTGCTTCTAAGTTTGCAACACAAGGAGTGCCGAACAAACTGCACATCGTGTGCCAGATGGCTGCCCATGATGTCGCATGTGCCACGATTGCTTCTAATGTGACTTGACAGGGCACAAGTGAGACGGCGCCTGCTGCGCCACACATTTTTGTGTGACTGGGGGTGCCACCTCCTGCGCCCCCCAGCAAGACTTCTTTCTTTGTTTTCCATCGTGGCCCTACTTTTGCTCCTCATCTTGACTTAGATTGGGGTTTGCACAGTGGTGCACTGAGCCAAGTTCCCACTGCTGTCATGGCTGTGTGTTCATGCTG